CGTGACACCACCATGCGGTAGTCGTCTAATCGTGTTGGTCCAGCCTTAGGGGTCAGGATTTCTTATAGGCATTGTTTATTGTGCTTTGGATAGTATTTGAATACTTCTCCAAAGCATTGTTATTGTTTGGTGTTTCGGCTTCCATCTCTATCAGGGCCTCTTGGAGAAGGTGGGGGCATAGATTGCCCTGTCCGTCTTACTAGGGTTCCGAGATAGCATGGAGGTCGGCAATATCAAGTTTATTTTGAATGTTAACCAGCGGTGGTCTGACATCGAAATGTTATCAGACACTTGCCAGTTTAGAATTGATTTATAGATACCAGTTGTGTATAAAGTGATATCTATTAGTGTTTGACTGCGAGAGTTTAAAAATGTTGGTGTAGTACCTTTATTTTAAATACATAGATTTTTGGTAATTATACAGGGTGTCCTTTAAAATGTGTCCCAAAATTCTCAGGCAGATTCCTTAACCAAAAAATGGAAAAAAAGTTCCTATAGACCTATGTCCTAAAGTGCCCCCTAAGCGAGCAACAGCCTCTCGAAATCATTTTTTTTATTTTGATTTTTTGAATTTTCTTAAAAATGGAAACAAATAAAAGAACCAAATTTTGGCTGTTAAATATGATCAATAATAGTGACCTTTTGACACCTTCAAAAAGAAATTATTTCGTCAGGGGTGTACTTGGGAATTTTTTGAAAATTTTGATTATTCATAACTTTTTTGTGTTTTTGGTAATGACTTATCCATATTTTTTTTACATTCTACATTGAAAACTACGTCAAAAAGGAATACTTGTTTGATCTCGATTGGAGCAGCCGTTTCCGAGAAAACATCATCCAAAGATATTCGTGCAGTTTAGGTTAATTTTCAATTTTGGCTGTTGTAGCCAAAAAGTTGGAAATCGAGGAACACGGCTTACATGTCCCTATCCTTACTTTTGAAGGTCTATTCAGTGGCAAAAAATATTAGTTGATACAGGGTGATCAAAAATCGGATGTGATTTTGGATTTTTGATCACCCTGTATCAAATAATATGTATTTTATGTCACTGAATAGACCTTAAAAAGTTAGGATAAGGACTGTAAGCCGTTTTCCTCGATTTCCAACTGTTTGGCTACAACAGCCACCTGAATTTGAAAAAATGTGATTTTTGAGTAGCTGTAGATCCTTTACTATTCATATTAGATAACAAGTGTGATATATCATTGAAATCAGATTATCGAGCAGATTCTAAAAATATAAAAATATACAGGGTGTTCCATTTAAAAAACATAACTTTGATTTGGCACGGCCTTATGAAACACCCTGTCACATCGTAACTAATTTTAAAATGTGAAGCTTAAAGCTGCCTACTTTTATTATAACAGATCTACAGAGCTTCCTCACACTAATCAATCACCCTGTATACTATTTTTAGCTCTCTAAATAAAATTTAAAAATTTAGTTCCCATTTATTTATTATGAAGACCATAAGGTTTGTATTTAGCTGTTTAGAATAAAAAAGTAAAAATATGTATTTTTTTGGCGTTTTTGTGTTTCATGGATAATTTTTTTCGCTCACTGATAAAAATGTTTCTTCAGTTAAACATTATTTCTAAAAGTGTTCTGGTGCGATTCGTTGTATTGTTATTATTTTGTTTAAAATGGCTCACAATAACTACAATAATGATTACACATTCGGCGAAATGACGGACATGCACTTATGTTTTGGACTCGCTTCTGGAAATGCCAATGAAGCTCGCAGACTTTATCAGGAGCGCTTTCCAAATAGGCATCTTCCATGCGCTAAGACGTTTTCTAGAATTGACGATAGACTTCGGGAAACTGGTACATTTAAGAAAAACTCTAGTAACAGTGGAAGACAAAATTATGTGAGAACTCCTGCTTTGGAAGAAGCAATTTTGGATAGGGTAGCTGAAACCCCATCGACAAGTACCAGAAAAATAGCAAATGGTAAGTAATTACTTATTTATTATTTTAGCTACCCCGTACCTTATCGTATAAAACTAGTTTTTTTACTTGTTATTGCTTCTCTTACATTTCACGACTTTTCGTATCGAAAAGAGTTGCGTTATGCAGAAAAAATCTGATTTCCCAAATCAATGGATTCTCTTTCTTAACTATTCACTACACAGATTCTCTCATTTAATTTCAGAAGTGGAAGTCGGACGTAACACGGTATGGAAAGTTTTGCGTGAACAACAATTGTACCCTTACCACATTCAAAAAGTTCAGGCACTTAAAGCTACTGATTATGAGCCGCGAGTTATCTTTTCTGAATGGTTTCTTGGAAGATGTAATCAAGATGCAATGTTTCTTAATAAAGTGCTATTTACCGATGAAGCTGGTTTCACTAGAGATGGTATAATAAATTTTCGAAATATGCATGAATGGGCTGAAGATAACCCTCACGCGGTTGTTGAACGTCACCACCAGGATAAATTTTCAATAAACGTCTGGGCTGGAGTTATTGATAATTACCTTATTGGACCATTTGTTTTGCCGAATAGGTTAAATGGAGCAGCATACAGGCTTTTTTTGGAAAATAACTTACATGAGCTTCTTGATAATATTCCGATTCAAATCAGACATAACATGTGGTTTATGCATGATGGAGCTCCACCACATTACAGCCTTGAAGCTAGACAGCACCTTAACGAAAGATTTGAGGGTAGAGTAATTGGCAGAGGTTGTCCTGTTAACTGGCCACCTCGTTCATCAGATCTAAATCCAATGGATTTTTTTGTTTGGGGTTATTTAAAATCATTGGTTTATTCCAGTCCTGTTGAAACAGTTGAAGAATTGGAAGAACGAGTTTTTCATCATTGCGAAGTTCTTAGGAATAATCCTGAAGTATTTTTTCGTGTAAGACAGTCTATGATGCGATGGTTGCGCTTGTGTGTGGAAACCAATGGTCGCCACATTGAGCATCTGCTTTAATTTTTTTTGATTTGTTTTTTTAGAATAAATATTTTTTTAAACCGTTTCTTATTATTAAATAAAAATAGTCCCACCACGACATTTGAACTACAATTATTTAGAAAGAGCTAAAAAAGTTATTTTTATTTACGAGATTCACCGAGGTAATTTAGGAAAATTGAAAATTAAGCTAAAGTGGACGAATATCTTTGGATGATGTTTTCTCGGAAACGGCTGCTCCAATCGAGATCAAACAAGTATTCCTTTTTGACGTAGTTTTCAATGTAGAATGTAAAAAAAAATATGGATAAGTCATTACCAAAAACAGAAAAAAGTTATGAATAATCAAAATTTTCAAAAAATTCCCAAGTACACCCCTGACGAAATAATTTATTTTTGAAGGTGTCAAAAGGTCACTATTATTGATCATATTTAACAGCCAAAATTTGGTTCTTTTATTTGTTTCCATTTTTAAGAAAATTCAAAAAATCAAAATAAAAAAAATGATTTCGAGAGGCTGTTGCTCGCTTAGGGGGCACTTTAGGACATAGGTCTATAGGAACTTTTTTCCATTTTTAAGGAATCTGCCTGAGAATTTTGGGACACATTTTAAAGGACACCCTGTATAATCATAAAGTGACTTACCTCTAGCGTTGTTATCCTTACTGCCCCAACTGAAGTAATGAGCGTTTAAGTCGCAACCTATTACCAGCTCAAACTTCTGTTCCAGGCAGTATGCAATCAGATCCTCAATTGCTTTGCAGGGTGGTGGCGTGGTTGCATCGGAAGGGAGGTATGCAGATGCGAGGATTAACGTTTTCTTTTCCCTTTTGATGGCGTATTCCATCCTAACCGTAGTTAAATCGGAGATGGAAAGGTGCGCCATTGAGTGGGCTTCGTATTTCCTAGGAATGTAAATGGCTGTACTAGGTTGTTGGTTGCTGGGAAAGCTAAAATTGAACCATTTAGATTTTTAAGACCTAAAATTTTAGTTTTTATTATTCAGGGTTCCTGTATGAGTGCTATTGTATCTTACAGCTCATCAAGGTGGCGGCATAATGTTGCCGTACCCACCCTTTTGTGCTGCAAGTTACATTGTATGATAGTTACCTCTTTTATTGCTTCCCGGTCATTCGTTAAAAATTGGGCAGCAAGGTGGTTTTTTTATTCGACCATCCCTTCCTCCGAAAGTGGGGAGGGGGTGATCTCTTGTGGCTCCTCGGAGTTTTCATGCTGGAGGTCATCGATTGCCATTTTTTCTGGATCGCCGTCCTCCACTGTTGGCTTGAATTAGGGAGGAAGCGGGTCCTTTACCAAGGAGTCTTCACTGGACCTCGCTTCAGCCTCTTTTTCGACCTTTAGCCTTATAGTCAATGAGGTGAACGCATAGCTCATCGTCATTGATTTGGCCTTTAGGGTTCCCATGTCTTCGATGCCGAAGACGAAGAGATGGCCCTTGGAGTCTTTTTTTATTTCATGGTGGAAGGTGCACCATTTCGCCACATGTAAGTTTGGGTTTTGCCCCTCAAGTCGCTTCCCCTGGGATCCAGTGAGAGGCTTTGGTGAGCTCGTCCATCCTTACAACAGCGAGTGTTGCTCCTTCCCATGTTTTTAAGATTGGTACCTTTGTTTTTAGCCATTCCAACGTCAGGTCATCGTTGCACGTTACTCCGATGATTTCACCAGAGTGCGTCCAAGACCTGAAGGTGGGTGGCTTGGTTTTGCTGCGGGAGGCGGACAAAATTGTTTTGTCCAGCTCTCCCATCAATGTCTTTTTGACAAGGTTTTCTCTTTCGGTAGTTATCTTACCGTAAGGGTTATCCTTGTCTATTATAGCTACTTTCAGGTGGCTCGTAGCTTCATCCTTGTAGCTTATCCCAGACAGAACTTTGTGGTCCTGTCTGGGTTTTTTCCCCTTCCGGGGCGTTACCTCGGAAGAGGTGTGAAATCGCGGCCTTTTCTTGTCCCTAGTTGCGTCGTGTTCCTGGTCTCTTGTGGAGGCAGAACTAGCTATTCCCATGTTAGAGCGACTGAGATAAATTTACGAGTTAGAAAGAGTTGACACTTGTATTTAAATTACTGAAAATATTCCATGAGTGCTATATTCGGCGTGGGAAAGCACTAGTAAATATGTAGCAGGTGCAAAATATATTTTTCTTGGAATTCGAAATATGTTATGCTGCATTTGCTTCTGCCAGGGTTGACTTTTGATTTGTGTAAGTTTCTTAAATTTGGTAATGCTATGTACTGATTGAATAATAAAATATATTGTTATTCTTATATTTACTATATATTAGTTATACGAGGTGGATCATAAAGAGAGTAACTGAAGTATCTTTGAAAAAAATGCTTGTCATTTTTGAACAATGGTTATAATTTATTAATTTTAAAGATGTGATATAGAGTAGGTACTTTGTTTCATTATTTTATTTAAAATTATTTTGTCGCATAAGACCTTTTTGAATTCTAGTTTTCAAGCCCTTTCCAACAAGGTGCGACACGACCCCTCTAGATATTTAAAAAAAATTGTCACGTTGGATGGGATGAAAGGAAGGAACATTTTTTTATGTTATAAAATACCTCGATTAAAATAAAAAATTGACGGGTCCGAGCGTTTTTCAATTTTGGTTCAAATAATAAAAAACTTACCGTGCAAAAACTATACAAGCTAACACAATACACAAGTATTGTAAATAAAGCAGTTGCACTCATAGACCAAATGACAGGCGCGGGAAAATTAGTTTAATTCACGAATAGGGGTGTTATAAATAAAAACTACCATTTGTATTTTTGAACAAACTAATGTCTTTTATTTTTTTTTGTGTTATATAACATACATCGTCAATAACGTATATACATAGTCTTCAACAATGCCCGTATCGCAATTGATATTGTGAAACAAAAAATGGCCTTTTTTATTGACTTAAGACAATTTGATTGTTAGTTCTATCAAATACGTCAGTGATGACAACAATTTAGCCACGTATGATACGTGTATGATTTTTAACAAGAAATGTTATTAAATATCAATTGATCAATGATAACTTCTTTTTAATATAAACGTTTCCATCGGTAATTGTCAGCAGTTATTACAAAAGTTTTTATTGTTGGTGTAATCTTCGCCTAATAATTCTGGGCAGCAGTTGTCTCCATTTTGAAGACCTTGCATCGTTTTTAGAAGATCGTAAGTCATTTTTTCAGTCATCACGGAATCTGATCTAAAAAATGTTATTATGATTATTGCCGGAATAAGTATTGAAGACCACATTTGCGCCTTAGAAGTACTGTAAACGGACTAGGGTGATATCAAGGAGGTTCTAAAATTTGAAAAAAATGGTACTTCGAGCTAAATTAATACGTAATTTTTCAGCTCAGTCGCTGTAAAAGTCTTTTCACGTGCAATGATTGAGGTCCGGATAGTAGAAATAATGTAATATTAGAAATAGGATTATTCTTACTTGTAATCGGGATGTTCCATCGCAAACTTTCTCATCCAAGAAGCTGGTGTAAGCATTTTTCCAGAAGCTCTACCTCCTATCAGATTTAGATATCGTTGTATGAGACAATAGTTGCGCACATCAAGGTTTAAAGTATCCAAGTATTTTTGCATTAATGGTATAATACCAGGAAATTCATCATTCTAAAATGTTTTAGTTTAAAGTCACTATGTTGGAAGCAAGGAAAATTGCGTCAGTTTGAGAAAATATCAACGGACTAAAAATAAATTACCGCAGATCGAATTGCAGCTGATGCAATAGTGGGAAAAATGGCTGCAATGAGCGCTGCCATTTTAAAATCTCTAGAATATAGAATATAATACATTTAACATGTTCTGTTCTTGTTTACTATGTTAAATCAACTAATTTATTGGAATAAAGAATAAAATCATTATCAATTATGTACAGATCAACAAGAATAGCTAAAAGTGCGACAACGATTTATGCTACGTTGCCAAATTTATTAGTATTATGTATGTAGTTCTGCTTACGTAAAATTTTTAAATAATAAAATGGTTACACAATTGATTATTTTATATTATATTATATTTATTGTGGATGCACTAAATATGTACTGAAGTTTAAGTGAATAAGCTATTAGTAACTCCAAGATCGTTTGTTAAAAATAACTCAATTTTAAAAACTACAAACTATCACAGGCAACACGCTTAGGTAAAAATTACGTCTTTTTTAGGTATTACCTTACGCACAACTGGTCCTAATTCATCGTAAACTGGAAATATGCCTATAAGATAAATTATATTTAAATGTAGTATAATATACAATAACTAGTATCTACAAAAAAATTATTTATTTATCTGTTAAAAAACAACAAGTACCTATACCATAGGACGTATATAAAAAAATAATCAACCAATACCAAGTTTAAACGAGAATTACGTATAAAATACGTTAATTATACTGTGTTCTACTTGAGCTATACTCTTTTCCACTAAAATCTAGCGATAGACAAACTAAAAACAAAAAGAATATCTAACAATATACTGGGCATAATAAAATAAGGACTATGTAAAGGAGTCGCCATATTTATTGTAGACGTAATTAGTTGAATCCATATTTGGTTTAATTTTACAACAGGCAATTCTGATGTTTAAAGGTTCAAAAAAAGATTATAATAATAAATTATATTATAAAATATATAAATTATAAACCAACAATTACATCACCTAGTTAGTTTTTTAAGACTGGAACTGAAAGAATTTTAATTTATTGTATTTGCCCTATTTGGCAACCCAGTGAATCGTTCTTGTAGTCTATGAAATTCGATAATAGGTTTCTTTCTGATTTGAAATTTTAATTAAAAATTTAACTTATTATGTGCTTAAATTTACCTCAAAATGAATCTACTTTATTCACTACTACCAGTACTACCGCTCTACTACCTACTTATATTATTTGGCAACGTCTCAAAATGCACAACTTCAGCTATCATGCCTTAAGACCTAAGTGATTATCTAGAACAATCGGAATGAACTTAGCTCCCCGTTTCTAGTCACTGTGCAATATGATTCTGGCGGTTTTAGCCATTTCTGTCAAAAATATTTTAATTTAGCGCGACGGCGATTGCTCCATGTATGAGAAACAGTGTATAATAGAGTTTACCTTTCCATTTATGATTTCGTCGATAGTCATTTCAATGCAATTGTTTTCGGTATTTATATTTTTGTCCCTCCTGCATTCTTTCTTTTTATTTTTGTTTTGTATCAGTCCATTTTTTATGTTTTCTTTTTCTGAAAGTCCATTTATGATATTCCCTATTTCCAAATTTTCACTCTTCATATCATCATTGGTTAAGCGACTACTATCAATTGTTTCTTCCTGTAGGCTCCATTTTTTATTAAACCCGTATTTATTTATTTCATTTATTATTTTATATTTTTCTGTATTGCGCTCATTTTTGAGTTGTAGACTGCTCCTTCTCTTACACAATTTGTGTAAGAGTTGTATGTCTATATTATCACTTTCTGTAGTCTTATAATCGTTTTCCATCAAATTCTCGAAATTCCAATTTTCTATGAATATTTTCGTAAATAAACCTTTTTTTTCCAATCCTATTTCATTTCTTCCTTTTAAACTGCATGTATTTTTGTCGTTTTCTACATTATTCGGTAGGATATTCCTCTTGAACCAAAATTTTTGCTCTTGCGCAGCGTTTCGTTTTTGGGCTCTCTGTATATTTTCGTCCACCTGTAAAAAAATTAAACTAATTAGATACCGTAAGGATTTTATTTCTGTTTTATCCAAACCAGATTACTTACCTTACTTATCGGAATCAAAAAATTTAGTTTATAAGTTAAAATAACTCTGGTGAGAAGGACCAAAAATGTTACAATGGCTGCATTTTCTGTACGTCACATGGTCGAAACTCAACCCTCCAACCTATAGATGTATTGGGAGGTGGAGGTTTCAATCTCATAGTCTGCCACACTGTAGACTGGATGTTCTAAAAATAAATCGTTTTCATAAAGATTAACAATGTGAACGGTAAAAGATAATAAAATAAATCAAATATAAGGCGAATAACAAAATCTGAATGGAATTCATCGGAATTGATTGAAATATGGGTCAGGGATTTGCAGATGAATAAACGCGATCTTGAAGTAAATAGAAGAAAAAATAAAGCTAATAAAAATACAATACATAAATGAGATGAAAAAGACTAATCCATAATAGAAAGAGAAAAACTGATAGAACCATTTGTGATGACTGCAGATACACTACATATCTCCCTTTACTCATATAATCCCTTGATGACCCACAAAAAAATGTTTTTAAAGTAGGACACGACCGACAAAGACAGATATACGAGTCATGTCTCTGAATTAAATCCAAACTATCACTTACAAAGAAGGATAATAATTGTATGCATGATTTTTCCAAGGCCTAAGTACTTTAAAAACATTTTTTTGTGTTTCATCATTTTAATAAACTTTATAACTTTCATTTTTGTAGCAGTTTTAATGATAAGTAAAGCTTATCTCATCTTGCAACTACCTGGTAACTAAGGTTTGACTATTTACTAGGTATAATATTAATGCACATCGTATTGTCATTCTAACTTTATTGATGGAATTCTAACATATGCAGATTCCACACCAATAATCAAAATTTGGGAGATACCTAACAAAGTAGACTGGATAAATAGTACAATACCTACTTCCCAATAGAACAAAAATATTGTGTTGATGAAATTTCACGAGTTCGCAATGTGGAATTACTTAGACTGTCCCCGTATCATTGTGATCTCAATACTATTGAGCAGTAAATTTGGGCTATCATAAAGGGAACTGTTGCAAAAAAGTAGCTACTTTAAGATACTGGTCCTACTGGTGGTATAGACGTTATAAAATTGGCAAAATTTGTAACTATGGAGAATGAAGACTATGCGAAGCACATGCCACGAAAAAAATATAATCAAAAATGTGGAAAATGGATATTAATATTGATTTTAATACGAATCCCGTAGTCATAAATTTGGGAGAAACGAGTAGTGACAATAATTCGAACGAGATTGTACGCGTAGAACATGTAATGTGATTGAAAATCTTAATTATTAAGAATTATGAAAAAAAGATTTAAGCAACGAATATTTACCTCAAAATGGCCTATTTCTTCTTCATCGTCCTGATGTATTTTTTCCTTAAACACAGAAATAGTATCTCTAATAAACAAATGGGCAACATGCTGCGCGAGAAGATCATCGATACCGTTATCTACCAATGTTTTGTAATCTTCCTCGTAAAACAAAATCTCTAAATCATTGAATTTCTTTCCTTCGGGAGATATATAGCAGTCTATGGAATCGTGTCTGGATTTGTTTATTACGAATTTGTTTTTATTCAAAGGTCGTAAACCTTTTTCTTCAGGAGTACGACAATCTTGAGTATGGCAGAGTATATTCCACCGAGCGTCCACGTCCGTTATAAAGCCACGATGAAATGGAGCGGACGCTGTGAGCACCATCTAGAAGCGAAAAATCCTATATCGCAGTACGGAATAGTATATATCAAGAATTATTTGTGGTAAGTTTTATATTAAATTGTAAACAATAAAGTTGTGTGGTACTGATTTTGAGTTTTTTATTTTCGTTTATTAAACTGTAAAAATTAAATTAAATTTTGAAAACATGAAATTATATAATCTCCAGTTCCCACTACGAAATTATAAAATACACATTCATATCTTAAAGTGAAAACAAACCAAAGGAAAATTGAAAAAACTGAGAAATTATGAAAATAAAAATGAATGATTCGACCAGGAATCGAACCTGAAACCTTCCGACTAGAGCCGTTGGCACCTCTACTATTTGGGCCATCGAAGCACATGGCTGCGACATTCGAATTTGTAGATTTGAAATAAATCACACATTCTTCTCCCCTGCCAGCCTCCTTAAAACCAACCTTGTATCATCCTATAGAATCGATTTTTTTCACTTTTTTGAAAATTTAATTCTATAAATTAAATTGTAAAAATTAAATTGTAAAAATTAAATTGTAAAAATTAAATTGTAAAAATTAAATTGTAAAAATTAAATTGTAAAAATTAAATTGTAAAAATTAAATTGTAAAAATTAAATTGTAAAAATTAAATTGTAAAAATTAAATTGTAAAAATTAAATTGTAAAAATTAAATTGTAAAAATTAAATTGTAAAAATTAAATTGTAAAAATTAAATTGTAAAAATTAAATTGTAAAAATTAAATTGTAAAAATTAAATTGTAAAAATTAAATTGTAAAAATTAAATTGTAAAAATTAAATTGTAAAAATTAAATTGTAAAAATTAAATTGTAAAAATTAAATTGTAAAAATGAAATTGTAAAAATTAAATTGTAAAAATTAAATTGTAAAAATTAAATTGCAAAAATTAAATTGTAAAAACTAAATAAAAATTAAATTGTAAAAACAAGTTATTTTGGCTCAATACACATAAAGGAGCATATCATTCTAATTAAGTACTATACTCTTCCTACATCCTCTTTATATCGTTAAATAAAAGGCTAGATCATATTAAAAAAAATATTATTATAGGTACCATTATAGGGCAAAATGAGGCCAATTGGTCATATAATACTCTGGCTTCACTCAAATCAGAAGCTTGGAAAGTAGTTTGCAAACACGAATATCCACATCCAAAACCCATCGAATCCAAATATACGTGATCTGGAAGTGCATTTTTTTCATATATGTAACTGTCGTCTAATGGATTTTTTGTTTTTTTATCTTTAAATACTGAAAATAATAGGAATTTATGCAATCAGTTACGAAATACCTTATTTTATGTAACGAGTTACACAAAACAGCATTTTACTTACAATATTTTTTCTAATTTTGACTAGAATATTTATAAAATTGTTTTTTGGTAATAAATTATTGTCATATATGCAACCAATATTACTTTCTTGTATTATTAGTTGCATATGCATAACTTCATTCGTTTTATTGACAAATAAAAAATCATATTAATTTATTCTCAACGACTTGTTGTAGTGTGTTTATATTGCATTTAAAGTTAGTTTTCAAGAAAGTGGGACATTTTGTTGTGTATTGTGTTTTATTTTGTGCTGATGTATATGTCCCCCTAAGTTGCAATCATATGGAAAACTTTTTAATTATTAATTTTAGGAAAAAAGTTATTCTTCATAAAAAGTTCTGCATGACCCAAAACTTAAAATACAGTCATCCGATATCAAATTTTTCAAGCCGTATACGAGGTTTGTCAAAAAATATTAATTTTGCTCAAGAGTAAAGTACGTTTATTTTTGACAAAATCGAAAATTTTCATTAAGAAAAGTTGATTATAATTGAAAATTACATTCAAATATGTAATTACACCAATCTATCTGAAAAATCGGATTTTTTTTTTTTAGATTTTGCATTGATCCACCTAATTACGATAATCCATAATTTTTTCTCCCTCTTCTCTACTATAAACATGATACGCTTTCCTTTTCTTGATGTTTGTGAAGAATTTAGCAATTTTCTTAATGAAAATTTTCGATTTTGTCAAAAATAAACGTATTTTACTCTTGAGCAAAATTCATATTTTGTGACAAACCTCGTATACGGCTTGAAAAATTTGATATCTGATGACTGTATTTTAAGTTTTGGGTCATGCAGGACTTTTTATCAGAAATAACTTTTTTTCCTAAAATTAATAATAAAAAAGTTTTCCATATGATTCCAACTTAGGGGGACATACTGTATATTGATTGTTAAAACCGAAAAAGGTTTATTTTTATTTGTTGGTGACATAATGAATTTTTCGTAATCAGTTTCATAATGTTCAACATTGTGCAACTGGTTGCATAAAGTAGATCGTTTTGACCAATACAAAAATGTCACTTTATGTGTCAAAATTAGAAAAAAATAATTATTCGTTAACTAGGCGAATGATAAGTTTTCATTTAGTTTAGATCATCAATCGTATATGAAATGTTCCAAATATTTATGCTTTGGCGGTTCAAAGAGAAAAATAAGGGGCAATCAGAAAAATATTAAGAGACACGATAAACTGAATGTATGCTTAATGAAACAATATACTTTCATTGACTAAAATGAACATGGAATATAAAAAACAGAATAAAATAAAAAAATTAATTTTCCCAACAAATTTCATTTTCCAAAGTAGATTTCTGTTCATTGAATTAAATTACCAATTTAAATTTATGCATATTTCATTTAATTATAATATTGATACACTGTTATATTTCTAAAAACCTCCTTTTTTCCTCCACTCACAAATAAAAATCCTTCTCTGACAATTCCCAAAAAATCTCCGATACCCTGATTTTTCTTCTTTTTTTTTAATTTTATTTTCAAAAACTTAACTACTTCGGTATTAAGCTATTTTGACGTATTATATCAATTTTTATCACTAGAAAGATTGTGAATATTATAGGGTAGGCAATACATTTTACCCGAGGCGGCTTGTGGCCTAGTCTACGATGAGGCTGACACACCCTATATATTTGTATTAAGTATATAGGGTGTTCCTTTCAAAAGTAGCCTCTTCGTAGACTAGGCCACGAGCCGCCTCTGCATTTTACACGATATGCAATACTATTTTTACATACATACTCTGCTTAAAATGAAATCATATTTGATGATTTCTGTTTTTAATCATTAGTGAATATTTACAATAAATAACTTTTAACATAATTTGTGTTATCGAATCGTTAAATGTTTTTTTTTATCTAACATTATCATTCAATATTTTCTCTTTTTTCATGATATTTTGAAATATATCTATTTTTTATACTTAATAAGAATATGGTGGTAGAAAAGTCTTGAATGTATGAAATTCGAGCAAGCAATAGCTATTTCTGTAGGTAGGTAGGTAGATATGTGAAAAATACCTTGTAAATTATAAAATGGTTTTTCTCCTCTCCTAGCCATGATATTTTTAGTAGTGTTTTTATATCTGCTATGACCCGGAAAAATACATGCGTCTGGAAAAAAAATTGATTTTGTAATTCCGTCTATCGGTGTCGGTTTTGCAATTGGATAGGTAAAATTTTCACAACCCATTCTAAAATTTAAATATATATATATATATATATATATTGATAAAGATGATATATTATTTAAAAAAAATCTTACCTAGGAAAACTAGTAATACATATCAGATCTTCATCAGATTTCAGTAATTTCTTTACTTCTTTCCTCCTCTTCCTCATATTTTCTTCTACGCAGCTAAAATCTAATCCTTCAAAAGGTTGTGCTGGTGTCCCTTCAATCATAAAAGCACCATATTCTGGTGCCCAAAACCCATCACTACCATTTATGTTTAATTCTTTAAGTAGTTCTTCACCTTTTAAGTTTAGTTTAACTTCTCTTTTGTCATCATCGAATTTCACTATCGTGTATTCTATTTCTTCTCCCCATTTAAAAACGTCACCTCTTCTTGTTTTTTGTTTTTTAAATAAATTTATAAACTGCACTATACCATGTTTTCTGATATGGGACGCCCATTTCATGGTTTCTTCGTGAGATAAGGGAGAACCGGCATCAGCAAGACCCATGTCAAAATATGACTGAAAAGAAGTAGGGTAGGTACTCGAAATGGTTACAAAAAATGAAATTGGTTTATTGGGATTTACTAATATTTATAGACTTTTATATTATTTGTTCATTTTATAGTGTGGTAAAATTAGAGAGAAATTTAATTTGAAGTTTTCAATTGGGAGAAAAGTAATAATAAAACAGAAATCGGCATGTCCTTTAATCTCCACATCCCAACCGATTTTCTGAAAAAATTATGGGTTTCCAAACTTTTTTCTCTCTCTATTTTTGTCATTGTAAATTTGAACTATTTTAACTGTAAAATAAAATACTTTCTCCTCTTATTCCTTAGACAAGGAAAGAGAGAGTATATCAAGCACTCGTAGTATCGATTGGCCGCCATTATTTTGGTGTTAAGCATTTCGGCGACACCAAAGCCTTTTACTCGTGTTTATTTGTGATTTTTAAATTAAAGGACATTTGATAAATAGTTTGTTACAATGTTTTATTGTGTTGAATATCAGTGTAAAAGTCGTAGCGACAAGAAATAACCAGATATTACGTTCCACAGATAAATAATAAACATCAATCATTTATACTTTATATATTATATTTTTCATTCTATTTGGTTATTATAAGGCTTAGTATTTATATATTGTACATGCCTCACTCCAGAGTAATAGATTGTTAAAAAAGCATTATTTTTCAGTGGCGCGCAGAGCTGTTGTACTGAGTATTTTAAATACTTGAAGTAAATAAAAAATACTTTAAGTATTTGACTTAAGTACTAATACAAACGTTGGTAGATACTGCTTGTACTTGCAATTTTAAGTTTTTCAATTTTACTTGTACTTAATACTTAAAATATCATTCAAGTACATTTTACTTATAATACTTAAGTACCAGTAAAATTACTTGAAGTAAATCGTGGGCTTACAAGCAAAAGGCACTAAGTCAAAAGTTTGTCAAAATGGGTTTATATTTTTGTATATCATGTAAAAACAGTGCATTAAATTCCGAAAGCATGTACGTTTTCTTTGAAGCAGTTGATAATCCCTAAATAATTTATAAAAAAATTGAACTTTATTGAAACTTTAAAAATTGCTTATAACTCGTAAACCTGTTTTTTGACTTAATGCATTTTGCTTGTAAGCCCACGAAAAATTGTATAATCCTCAACAGGGGCGGCTTGTGACCAAACTTTTGGGACTTCACAGTGACAGAATATAGATATCAGTACAGATATATGAAAAAAACTTTCAGTGTTTTACAAAGTTTACAATATACCTTTCTAAAACACTGACACTTTTTTACCTACATCTGTACGGAACGGAGATCTATATTCTGCTACTGTGGACCCCCAGAATTTTGCTCACGTGCCTGATCCTAAGAAATAATCAAAAACATTTTTGGAGACACAGAAAATACGTCAAAGAAAAATTACCTTTATTATGCGAAAGACTGATAATTGCACCTTTTAAAGAAAACGAATTCTTTTTTTGGAAGAATACATACAAATTATGAAACCACTAGCTGGAATTTTGGATTTTCTACAGGGTGGAGAGACCCCCTACTATGAATATTTGCTACCCAGTATAGTTGCAAAAACTAAAACTATAAAATAAAACAGCTTCTAAAACTTTATAATTGATTCAATTTATCGCAGATTTGATTTTTTACTTACTATCAAAGAAGAATCAAGGACAGCTGTCATTGCCACAGACGTTTGTCCCAGATTTAAAATGAGATGGTATAACGTGCTAGATACTGAATTTTCAACAACAAGCGAAGGAAATGCAGTCATTGGAGCAATATAGAAGAAAGTATTTTTGAAGAAGCACGGGTTGAAACCTTTGAAAACCCAATATATAACGATAACGATCCTTTTTTTTTTATTTCGAAGAAGATACCGAGTCATTCTCTTCCACTGCTGAAAAATGGAAATTGTTAGTTGATGCGAAGAGCCTATCCGAGCTGAAACTCCTAAAATACCTAGATCAGAACCAATTTTAGCACGCTGGCTGGACGATTATAAATACATTAATATTGTATTTCGTAAATATAACACAATCCTCTCATCAGCTTCTGTTGAGCGCCTTTTTAGTTTTATCCAAATTATTAATACGCCTCGTAGACATGTGAAAAGTGACGGCAATTTTAAAAAATTTGTTACTAAGCAAATAAGTTTTAGTTATGTGGCTGCAGCTAGATGGTGTTCCCGCCTATTTTTCGCATAATGTTAGGACATATTTAAATCAATAATTTCCTGAAAAATGGAGACGATGCCATAAATTGCCCCCTAGATCAAACGACTAACCACACTAGATTTTTTCTTTTAGGATATGTTAAAAATGTAGTTTATCAAACTCAGCCGACCACCGCCGAAAATATAGACTGTCAGATAGTGACAGGTTTAGGTGCCCCATTTTCGCATAGAAGCCTCGAACAAGGTTGAAAAGTATCGGTCATTATCTGACGGTCTAATATTAAAACACGCATTCGTGATGCGTTTTGCGTTTGCTACAATGAAATGGAGAGGGGTAGAATGATAACTGTCGATGAAAAAGTTTGCACATTTTGTAAACAAAAATCACATTTTGTAAACAAAAATCAGGGACGGTTTAACAACATTTTGGGAAACAATTATAAAAATAGTGCATCGGAAAATAATTAACAAGTATAATTTATTAATAAATCGAAATCAAAGCACAAACAATCACAAATATGAGCAAGATAACAAAGAATTGATGCCAAAAAAGCTTACAACAGCCACAACACAAACAAAAAACAGAGCTAAACATGAACATAATCGCTGAACTGGTTTTTTGTTCTAAACTGATTTTCCGTGTCGTTCTAAAGCTAAATTTGGAACAAATAAAGAATACATAATGTATTTGTTTATTTTATTTTTTTCCTAATTATCTCAAAATTTAAATTTTGGCACTTGTCACCTTCGTTACTTCCACTCTTCAATTGTCAATGACAACTGGTAGCTTCTGCAGGTTTTTAAATTAGGGAATTAATTTGAAAACTTCCTACCCTTAATATCTTTCTTCCAGTAAATATTAAGAAAAATCGGAAAGTTACGTCGTTTATTTTCAAGGTGGATTGAAGTGTTTATGTATTGTCTCAACGTGGGCCAACTTGGACAAAATTAGATTTCTGAAATTCCTTTATAAAAAAACCAATTACAATGTGCTAATAATTTAATCAAAAAGTGTGTAAAATCAAATAAAAATTACCACTTTTATCCCCAAAAATGTCCTAAATGTGACCCACCCTCTCATAAACGTTTTAAATTTCACATTTTTATGCATTTTATATGTAATAAAAAAGTAACGTTTAATTTTTCGCGTTTTTTACTGTGTTATAAAATTTTTTTCTAATATATCTACCGTAAATTTAATATTTATTACATGATTGGAAGATCGTATATCAAAATATATGTTGCAAAAGCTTAAAAGATTATAATAATAATGTAACTAAATAATTTCATTTATAACGTTTTAAGAAAATATTATGCCTATAAATCAATTTCATTTTAATTTATATATACTAATAATTGTTAAATATGTGCAATAATATTTTTAATTATTTCTGTTAATAATAAACGGCAATTCACATCCTTTCTATTTAAAACAATGGAGAACGCTGTTGATAAATATATAAAAAGTCCTTGGGAGGGTGCTACAGCTAGCACGCGTACCGAGCAGAAAGATCTACAGAAACTGCCCTGGTACAGCTGATTGACGTAATCCAGGATGCACTGACAAAGAAACGGTCGTGTGTGCTTTCCTAGACATAGGAGCATTTGACCACACAAAAGAGCACTTGCATGCAGAGGAGTGTGTGCCTTTCTTGACATAGAAGGCCTGGAGTAACAGGACTAGTTTAGCTACTACGAGAGCTAATATCTCAAAAGTACGAAGACTAGTTTGTGTTTGCATCACCGATGCAATTTGAACCTCTTCTACGACGGCAATGGAGGTGATCTTAAACCTCACCCCTTTACAGTTAATGATAGAGAAGGTGGCAAAAAAGAGGATATATAGAATGATTAGGAACGAAGTAATCAGACGAAAGTCTACTAGCCTCAGGACCGAAGATACCTGCGATATGACCCAGGATGAAATCAAAAAAAGTAGTTTTGTGAAAAACTTCAAAACCACAGAGCTGCAAGAAAGAATAAGGCCAAAAAGGAATTGGACGGTAGAAAACGATAATTGGTACAATCTTCTAGGAATAAAACACTTTCTGGGTGAATATAGGATACACATTGTAATAGGGATCCTTACCGGGTATTTTCGACTTAAAGGACACCTTAGTAAACTGAGAGTAGTAAATTCTGTGAGGAGGAGGATGAAACCTCCATTCACATTCTGACTGAATGTGTAGCACTCCAGAATCCAAGGGCACTGTACCAGAAACATATCAAATAGAAGAGGGATATTTATCTAACTTGAAGTCAGTCCAAAATCCTATACTTCCTTGAGAATTGGAAAAGTCGTTATAGGCATCGAGACATTTCCATGCTGCTGCATTAGCGAAATCTTTTAGAACGCAGTGTATTAACACCCCATTCCCTACTTATCACATTACCCAGAAGTATATTAGCCTGTCGTAGCCCAAAGAGAATGTTCCATTTATCGCTTCTTCTAGTGCCCAGTTTATTTTTAATCTCTCCTAATATTGTGTTACTGCTGCTGTTACCGCAAAACGGCTCAGGTTTAAGCATCTTTCCTTGCGAGACTATCTGCATTCTCGTTGCCTTTCATTCGGCATCGTTTTCTGTGTATGCTTTGTTACTGTTTCCCGGCGCCACCTTAGGAACAGCACTGTTAATTAGAACCCGACAGTGGATGGTCGAGTGGGGAATCATACCTATGCTTTAGAAGTAATATTTAATTCAAAAATCCTTCTACCCACAGGATTTGAACCTGAGACCCTTCGATCTCAAAGTCATGACTCTAGCCACTGTGTCAAACCACCCACCCCCCTATTTATTTATTTTTTTGTTCACAGATTTACTGGTGTTACTTTACCGTAGAAATTTTGGATACTGGGTTCCTTTTTAAAAAATATGATTAATAATAAACTTTATTTAATAATAATTTATATCTAGGAAAGGGCAAAGTTCAGTATAGAATTCACATAAGACGAATTCACATGTGACCTGGTCTTCCACTTAACTCGTAAGATAGAGAAATAGAAGAAGGAAAATAGTTTTTGTACAACAGTAGACTGAATGTGTAAGTTTAAAAGATTTTTTTTGAACTAGCTAAAGGTTTCAATGATATTCTTATAAATGACGTCGATATTTTTTCTAATTTCATTCAAGAAAATTTCTATATTGAAACTGTGATGACTTGGGTACTGGTAATATGAAATAAAGTAGATCAATTATTAAAGGATTTTATATTTCATTTATAAAAATCGATTATCTTAAATTACAATAACTTAAATTAATTATGTTAACATATAACACACATTTCTGACGTTTTTGAACTTTAAATCGCGAATGAAACGTATTTTTAAGATATCTTACTTGCAAAAAGATGTTTAAAAAATATTCACAAATGGTTCTTTTAAAAAATGACAACACTTTTTTATTTCGCCGACAAAATGTACTTCCTCCTAGTTTTCCTTAAAACTTCCTTCTCTTAAGAATGTCGGGCTTCCAATTAATAGGGTGCGTTTCTTCAGTAGCCGTATCGTCCTCCTTGTAAATTTTAATAGTTTTATCAGCTTCGGTAGTAATCAACCTTGATCCAGAATTGTCAAATATCATTGAGAAAATAACGGCTTCATTATCCATAGATCCGGGTTGAACAGGAGCTTGCAATCTTTGGAAATTGTAGCCGGTCCTCCAGTCCCAGAAATGTAGGGTACCATTGTCCCCACCCGAAACAAGTACGCCCTCTGGATTGACAGCTAAACAGTTGATAATGGCATTGTGACCGGAGAGGTTTTGAATGAATTTACCTTCAGGGCATTTCCATTGTTTAATATTGTCTGGAGAGCCAGAGGCAAACATATTTCTAAAATATAAAAATTATATTGGTAATGTAATGGTGAATCTAATAGAATATTTTATTGGTGGAAGAACTGCATAAATACAGTAATAGTGATAAAAGAAGAAGTAAGTACTAAATAAAAAAGGACATCAACAAGACTAGAAACACCGGAATAGAGCTACAAAAATAAAAATATAAAATAATTAAGGATGAAATTGGTACGATTTTTATAGAAGAGAAAGATAATAAGTTAATTGGATACATTAAAGATAATAAGTTAATTGGATACATTGAATTGAAAAAGACAGGATGACACAACTTTTTCAAAGCATAGGAGAACAAAATGAAGACACTTTGAAGAAGCAATAGAACCAGAAAGTATGAAACAATTTGATGAGAGAAAAATTAAAACAATAACTGACAAGTTAAAAAATAAAATAGTGGCAACATTGGTGATATGTACAGAAATAAATGGTAGAGAAAGTTGACAAGATCTTGACATACAAATAAAAGGGGAAGTTTGAGAAAAAAATTACAAAAAGTTTATATCTAATATCTATGGGATATCTTTTTGTTTATTTAGAAAAGCTTACAGATTATGAAAAATAGATATTGTAGATTATCAAGTGGGATTTAGGAAGGTTAAATCGACTCACTAATTTGTAATATCACCATATATAAAATAGATTAATAATGTGTGCCAAAAAAATATGCAAAATATGGTTTACCAATTACCAATAACATCAATTTAGTTGAATCTCTAAATCTAAACAGCCTTTCTACATAGTAAAATGGTAATAATAATTAACTAAAAACAACAGGTAAACAGAAATATTGATGTGCTTTTTATGAACAAAAAAAAAAAAAAATGGCAAAAAAGAAAATAATAGAAAAATTCTCAATAAATAATTTAAAGCCTTGGACTAGCCACCAGACATGTAATTATTTATTTCATGTTTTTAATAAATGGTTTTCCAAAAAAAATCATCGCCATACTTACAATGTTGGATGATATACAATGTCTCTGACACTCTTTTTATGGTTTGTTAAAGTACAAATTGTCTTTCCTGCTGCCAAATCCCATAATCTTATTGTGGAATCGTGAGACCCAGTTATGACCTAAAAAATAATACATTTTGACAAAAATTTAATAATTAATCCAAAAAAGGTTCAAAAATAATGTAGTAGATATAACCAAATAAAAAATTGACTGTTTATTATGTATCATGTTTGTTTACCTGTGGTTCTGAAGCCTGTGATATAACAGTTGATACAGTATGTGTGTGACCTGTCAAAGTGTGAATGTTAGCCTTTGTTCTCATGTCCCAAACGCGAGCTGTTGAATCTCTACCAGCACTTAACAAAACATCAATTGTTGGATGGAGGGACAAGGAATATACAGCAGATAAATGTCCATGATAGTGCCTAACGACCTAAAAAAAGATAAGGTATATCCTGTCTTCTGCATTCTTATTATAATTTTAACTAACCTTGTTATATTCAAGATCCCAACATTTGACCTGTCTATCTTCTCCACAACTGAATAAATATGGATGTCTAGGACTTATAGCTAGACCTCTTACTGTACTTACATGTCCTGTAAGTGAAACTTTTAGTTGACCTGTAGCTAAGTCCCAAATTTTGATTATTCTATCTGCAGCACCTGTAGCAAACCACTACAAAAAATATATTTTTAATTTTGGAATTGTTATCCTGGGTTAGTTTATCAAAAAAATATTGTTTTAAAATTAACATTAGGGTACAACATAGTTCACAACGTCACCAATAGGTGCCTCTCTTATACTCTACAAGGTGGTTCAATAAAAACTTGACATGGGGGTTTTGGGTATTAATTTCATGAATGTTATAACGCCCTGACAGGTCGATTTTAGTTTGGAAGGGGACACTTTTTTCTTATTGTAGCATCGTCACTCGAGCAATTTAAATAGGGAAATTACCATCAGTATTCAGCAATATGATTGTTCATTGCTTTTCTTTTCATTTTAACTCCCTCAAGCGGAATAAAAACTGTTACATGTTGTAAAGTAAGACACTTCATTTTAATGCTAATTTTATTAGTAATCCAATGCACCACATAACATAAACCTAAGTATCTCCCATATTGCACTTGCAACAAAATAAATTTAGTAATATTGTAATCTTTTTTTTTTAAGTTCATTTTTGATTTTATTTAACACATTATGTAGTGCATTAAATTACTAATTAAATGAAGTGTAAGTAAGTAAAGTAAATTTTATTTGACTACATTCCATGGGAAGGGAGGAGATAAAGGGCATGACAGTTGTAAATACTATAGAAAAGTGTCCCCCATGAAATAAAAATTGACCAGTTTTTGTTTGCTTCAAAAAAAAACTTCAAGATATTCTGAAATACGGCCAGTCGCTACCCTTTATGAAAGCACAAAATTTATAAACTTGTAGTTTCCGCCGCCATTACCGTTTCCATTTGACGTCGCAGCCGCCGTTGATATTCATAATTTATAAAGTTGACGTTCGGCGCTGTTGGAAACAAGAAGAAGCTGACGTTTACCCAGATTGTCCGCGATTTTCATTTTGAGTTCTCATTGCCTTTTTTGATTGAGTTTAGATATCTATTTACGTATTCTTGGAATACTTGTGTTCGTTTACTTTCCATAATATTAAGCAAACAACATATATGGAGTTTTAAGGTACGTCCCATTAACCAAACAATTGATACTAATGGATTATTCCATAATATATATATTTATTTATTTATTTATTTATTAAGTCATTAAGAAATTTCCAATATTATCCAGGCTATTGATTAGATAAAATGCGAACAGCACGAATGGTAAACTGCAGAACATAAAACTTTGTTATGTTTCAACATCAAGGAACTCATGTGCAACAGCGGACGGTGACAGTAACAGAGGATATAAGTGCGCAAATGTGAATGTAGATTTTTAACTTCCAATGGCAACTGCAAGTTTATAAATCGGCCTTTAATCTTGTTGAATTTGAACACATCAAAACTTGGCTTTAAATATTAAAAAATGTTGAATTTTTCCTTTTAGAATTTAAAATATTTTTTTTAATTGTACTTAAATAAAAATAAAATTTTAATTTAAATATAGGATGATAATGGTATAGGTCAATATGACATTCTACATATTGGCCAATACGAATATTGGTCGATTCCTATTAAGATGTTATTTTGTACACTTACCTCATTGCCAGGTTCAACAGCAACACATCTTACCCATCCCAAATGTCCAGAGATCACCCTGTATAACTTCCAAGGAGCATGCCATTTGGGTTTAGGCATAGTAGGTATTTTTTTCATAATATTAGCTAGTTGACTTGCATTGGTATTCTGTTGATTCCTTGCTACCAAGCTGGTATCTGTATAAGGTACTACTGCATTTTCACTTGAAGGTGGTGCATCAGATTGTGCGGTACCAGGAGGAGGTGGATTTGGACCTGCTTCAGATTCTCGGAGATGTTTCATGGCTTGCATTTTTTTGACATCGTCGAATACCATTCCATATGAATCCCTAGCTTTTACGAGTCTTCTTATTTTTTCTCTAAAATTTTAAATATGCAACATTTATCAATCAAATGAAATTAAAAATAAATAGGGCCTACTTACGCTGTATCGTCTACTGGTGGTAGAACCCCTTGATTTGATAAAAACATATCATGAGATCTTTTTAAAGATCTAAACACAAGGGTATGAACCGAATGTCTTTGTACTTCTTCAATCATCTTGAGCTATTAGAGAAAAGTCAGTTAAATCAAATAAATGAAACCTATCATATCGTTTTTGATTTATCAAAATTCAAAACCACAGCTGTATTTCAAACAAAAATAATATATGATATGATTAATATGATATAACCTCAATTAATAACGTCAATGTCAATATACGTTTTACGATTGTCAATCTGTCAAATAAATTTCATTCCAATGAGCTAAAAAAGGAAAATTGCTTGTTTGACCGATCAGGGCTGGTGTTAGCTATGTAATTATCTTTGTCTTTTCTGGTAAATCTGACAGAAACAGAAATAGTTCTGTTGTTCTGTTGATGATTATGAATTGTGATTTGAGTTGAATGTAGCTGAATGGCACACATGTCAATGTAAATTTGAAAGTGTAAAATGAAAATGTGAAAAAGGAAATGAAAGTGTGTAAAATATAAAATAAAATATATCTTGCGTCCTTTAAAATAAAAAAATGCAAATTTTGCAAAACAGGCCTTTTTAATTTAATATTTCTAGTAGGCATATTATAATTTTTCTTATAGAATAGATTTTTTTATGACCACGTCTCTAAACAGCGAGTAATAAATTTATCAATTATATTTTTGAGGAATTACTCTTAATAATTAGTATTAATTCTGTTTAAATAAATATATTTTATTTCCTGAACAAAGACCTTTATCCCATTTTGAACTTTATGTATTAATCAATAAGGTTCTTCAGTGCGCATGTGCATTGCTCTTAACATGATTTTGGTTATTCTGTATAAATTTCATGTGTGTATATTTGGTTGATTATTATTTTATATTTTGCTGGCAATTACTTTAAGTTTGTTAATTTCTTTGTGTAAATTATGGACAACAATAAGTTAGCGATGTTACTTGGCTTTGAAGATGAACCTATCACAGAAAAATACAAAGCGCAAGTTAATTTTACTATCAACAAAATAGGAGGAATGCCTGTAAGTATAAAATGTTTTCTTAAAAAATACGAATTATTTAACTTTTAAACCCACTATATTTTTAACATTCCTATTTATTTTGTATAATAGAAAAAACAAAAAAGTGTTTTGGAGGAGCTGGGATTTGAACCCAGGACTTTCTGCATGCGAAGCAGACACTCTACCACTGAGTTACACCCCCGTTGAGATATATTTTTCAGAATGTCGTTTTCAATTATATAAGTACTAACTTGTAATATTTTTCAGGATTATCCTCTAAATATTAATTTAGAACCTCCAATTTGTACTCTATGTCAGCTTCCAAGACCATTAGTGGTTCAAATATATGCACCATTGGAAAATTCAACTTTGCATCGTACTTTGTATTTATTTGCTTGTATAAATCCAAATTGTTGGACCCTCAATGAAAGGTAGGTAACATACCTATTAAAAGTATGCAAATAACATTTTTTAATTTTAATATCCTATAAATATACAGAATATTTTTATGTATAGTATTCATAAAAGTGCATTATTTTTATGTAATTTTGGTTGCCTAACAATCAGTATTTTGCTTTTTAGTTTTTCTATGGTATTTTGATTACCAAAATTCAAAATACCTATATAGGTAACCACTTGTCCTTACTTTAAGAGCAAACCGGACCTCTCGAGAAGGGAACACTGTTTTAAAGATTTACTAATGTAAAATTGTATTTATATGCGTGCCACTGGGAATACTTTGTGATATTATGTCTTGAGAATATTGGAGAGCTTTAAATTTGTGCAATGATATAAGGCAGTTCTCTCCACAGACTTTTAAGAACAGGTGGGAAATCCTCCCATTTAAAAACTACTAGATATTTATTAAAACAAAAAACAGCAAATGTTGATGAATTTAATACAGAATGGCGCATAAATGTTTTTTTTTAATTCCTTTAAAAAATATTCCAAATAAATACTTTTCGAAGGATTAAAAATTATTCAAGATTTCACCACCCTAAGTTTTCTTAATATTGGCATTTCCTGAAAATTTCACAAAAAATCAGACTAAAAATAAAGGTTCATAAGGAATTATAAATTTTCAAGGTGTTCGATTTGCTTTTAATGTGTTTTGTAAAACTATTATTGAAACAAACTTAATTATAGTTGGTTATGTGTAAGAGTCCAATCTCAAGAAAATATCTTGAATACTTTGGAAGATACAACTGCAACTGTTCCAAAATCTTCAGCGACTGATTGGTGTGCAGATGCAGACGATTGGGATGATGATAATAACGCAAATTTCAATGAAGAAAATGGTAATGTCATCAGTAATATTGAAAAAGTTTCAGATGAAGATGAAGAAAGTTGTTCATTAGAAGATTCGCTTAGATCTGGATTCGGAAATTTGTCTGTGGATGATAGAAATGCCAATAAAGGTGCACAGGGTAAGACATAAAAATACTTTTGAGACTGTTTATTCCTAATTATTATCAATAAAAAAAAAAGATTTAACAAAAAAATTTATTAACGAACTACATCTCTAAATTGTTTTAATGTAAACAGTAACAGTAAATAAAAAGTATAATACAAAAACAATAAATAAAAATATTTAAGATAAAACAAACCCTATTAAGATTTCGGGTATCTTCTTTAAATTAATTATTTAAAGCATTTTATTACAAAATTTTGAATAAGTAAATTGTATCTATAATAACACAAAACTGTTGACTGATTTTAATACATTTTAATTTTTTTTTATAACTTAAAAGTTTTCAAAAATACAATATAACTTAGAGAGAAGATACAAAAAGTGAATAAAATAAAGGGAAATTTAAATAAAATAATTTGGCTGGTAACAGGTTACTATGGCATATAAAATTAATTCCTTAGCTTAAAAATATCAGTATCAACAAAAAGCTTGTTTAACTAGCTATGAATATTTGGTTTCTTAGTATTTCCTAAGTTAAGTGTAATTTTGTAGTAGAATTTATTATCACATTACAGATGATGGAAATTTACTGAATTATGAGATAACAGACTTTATAGGTATTTCTTTAAAAAAACTGTCATATTTATGAGCTAATTAATAACAATAAATATAAAATAATCACATGCATAGCAATTAAAACTTAAAGTACTCATATTCATTTTTCTCTAAATCACAAAATTTTATATTTCCCACATTCTTTCTAGTTTGGTATACATTCTGTCTCTAGCTATAAACTAATTAATTTACTAATTTCTGTTCACTATATTTAAGCAACCAATGTGATACATTTTCATAAGTGACAAAAGTAATCATTGTAGCTGGTGTAACTCTAACTAAATTTGTCCCCAAACCTTTATAAAAACCTCTCCATCCCTCATACCCCCAGGTTTGCCTCACACAATCCACAACCCCATTGTAAGAGTAATGTTGATTTTGTAATCGAGCTCTTATAACTTGATATGGGTATGTTGTTGCAGCTGCAATTAATTTAGAGATAGCTGCAAATGTTAGGTATTCAAGAGTACCCAATTTTGTAGTTAAAGGTTGAGAATAATATTGACAATAATCTTTTTTCATCTCTTCGTATACCATAAATTGCACTGCACCATGAGAAACACCAAAAATGCCTGGTAAAATACCTTTATAGTAACCTTTCACTCCATCAGCTTTATAAATTTTTACAAAACAATCTACCATTCCATTATAGTTTCTTTGGCCGCTATATTGTAGACATAATCTAGTTTTTGCTACCCATAATGGATTAGTAATAAACAGTGTAATCAATCCTGATCCTGAAGCTAACATAAGATGAGTACTTGCTCCTAAGTTGGTATTAGCATTTCCTTCTTTAAACCAATTTTTTAAAGAATTATAGAACATAAAGTACAGTCCCCATGACGCCCCTGCTCCCCAAACATTGGGGGTTACCCCTTGATAAAGCCCTCTGAATCCTTCTTGTCTATAAATCTTTGTAAAGGCATTAATTATACCATTATATTTCGGAATGGTTTGTAATCTTCCATCGTTAACCGCAAATCTGATTTTAATAACGTCCAAAGGGTGTAAAATCAGAGTTGAAGTTACCCCTCCAGATATACCAGCAACTAAATGCTCTAACTTGACCTGGCTGAATAAAGTCACTTTCTGCGTTATAGGTTGATGTTGTGGCTTAGTTATTGAAGTCATTTTTCTTTTCACAGCTTGAGTTTATCACATAGTAATAAAATTTATATTTTCTTATTACAAATATATTATTTCGAATTAAATTTTGAGGTTATAACATGTTATAAATTAAAACAGAGTTCGTCTGTATGGAGTGTGTCTAGAACATGATTTAGACCGGAGTAAAAGCTTGGTTTTTTTAAGTTGTTTCGACAATCATTTCTGCCTGTTGGACTGTCACTTATTTGTCACCGATCGGAACAAGCGAACGAAAACGGTTCATTTGTAGTTACAAAAGTGTGAAACGACTTGCATTGCCGAACTCGCTTTATATTCATTCTCATTTCAATCAATAACATGGGTAGACCTTAAATATGCGTATTATGAAACTTTATTCATAGTCCTCGGTAGTATAGTGGTCAGTATCCCCGCCTGTCACGCGGGAGACCGGGGTTCGATTCCCCGCCGTGGAGAAATTTTTTTTTACTGGATTTTTAGAAATAATTTTTTGTTATAAAATTATACATTTTATTTCAATGACACTTATTGATAAAAATAATTTTTATTTCGAATGTAATAATATAAAGTGACCATATTTTTTAAGTAGAAATCGGCAACATGGGGAAATAAAAACTGAGCATGCATTGAAACATACTAACAAATAGAAACAAGAATGCATAACTATTATTTATTGAATAATAAAACTAAACCCTAATAAATTTGTTACAAAAAATACCTACCTATTCTTTTTGATGTAGGTACTGGATACAAAATTATGTTGTAGGTATTATCCCAGCAAACACATACGTACATAAGACGTACTATGTACGTACTGGTGGGACGTAAAGTACGTACCATGTACGTACTTTACTGTACGAAGTACGTACATAGTACGTTCATAATACGTACATTTTCCAAACGACAGTACGTACCTAGTACGTACTTAAAGTACGTACTCTGTACGTACCTAATGTACGTACCTAATGTACGTACTGCGTACGTACTTAATGTACGTACTGCGTACGTACTTAATGTACGTACTGCGTACGTACTTAATATACATACTATGTACGTACCATGTTTGCACTTATTCCAATAGAGTACATATTCTAGACGTTCTTTTCATCCTTATTGGTACTTACTTATGATGTAAAATGTACATATTAGTACAATACAAAAAAAAAGTAAAAAAGCTAATTTGTATTTATTTAATTTTTTACAAAGAATAATTTAAATGGTTTTGCTATGTTTTTTTAAAGTTTTTAGACTATCATCAGCTCTTCTTAGCCATCTCACAATTTCCTGTTCTGCAACCTTCTTCTCTTTGCATTTGCTACTTTTTACAGCACCTTCTGCAAAGAAATAATATCAAATTAGAAACTTAACTTGGGTACTTTTTATAATAAGTAATATAATAAAAACAATATAACAAAAAGATGTAGAGTAAAATAAGCGATGGTTTCTACGATAGTTTCTACGGCTCAAAATTATCATTGTCAATATACTCCTGGATGTAAACCTCTCTAATTTGTATCCACCTCTTTTGGCTTCATGCCTTTGAAATACAATTTGTTCCTGACACTGCTGTATAATATCGGAACTCCTATATTTCTTTTTCTCCGCCAGTTTTGAAGTCCAATGGTTGGAAGTACACAATTTCATTAGATACAAAAATAATTGTGACTGGATAGAGGGTTTTTAATGTAACGACTTTATGAAAACTGGCATGCAAAAATAAAAAATCAAAACATCTTACCCACTACAACTGCAGCCAATTATAATTTGTTGCCAGCTGATTATAGTTATTAAGGTAGCAGCCATACTCCTTTTAACAAAATCCAAAATTAAATTATTAGGGTCTGTAAAATATCACTTCTTTTGTCCTCCTGTTTATTCATTTCCTTAAACTTTTTCAACAGTTTTGTAGCATTTTTGTAATGTTTACTATGGGATGGGAGACATATCTATAAATTATATTTATTACACATAATTTTTTAAAATTAAAATGAAACCACTCACCAGAATAAAATGACAAAACTAAGTACTTATAACACGCACTAAAAAGTCTAAAAGTCTTAAGAACTGTCTTGTTCAATTATAATAAATTATACACAATTATTTATTTAAAGAAACACTTAATAGTTAAATTCTTAAACATAAAAAAAACTAACAATAACAAACTGTTGAAACCGTTGAAACGTGGTTGCTTAAAAAAACGAGCGAGTCTAGTTTAGAGTTTATGTTAGGTTAAATAAAATGTGTTTCTTCTTTGCATTTTTTGTCTTTTTGGCCTACGGTCAACAAAAATTTGATAAAAATTTAGGTTTTTCAATAAAACAGGTATGCAACCAGGATTACATACACTTAGGTACGTACTTAGTACGTATTTTTCTGTACGTACTGGTACGTACTATTGTGTACGTACTTAAAACGTACATTTTACGTCCTGTACGTACTGTACCACAACTGTACGTACTTAAGACGTACTGTGCTGTTTGTGATGTTGTCACATAACCATAAAAATTGTATTTTTAGGCGGCAGACAAAATCGGGACAAGTTAAATGGGGACTATAGTGTTTTAGACATCGAGTTTTCGACAGATTTTTACGATTTAAGGTCCCGGCCCTGTAATCCGTTTTGACTATTTTCGCGATGATGTCTGAGTGTGTCTGTATACTCGATAATTCATGAACGGATACTGGAAAAACAGAAAATTTTAAACTTAAGCTTTATTCCGGTCTGCGGTGAGCTGATTAGATTTTGGACATAGTCGGAACATCTGGAGGGTACTTTGTAGAAGATTGTTTTTCTACTGTATGGAATATATCTGTTAAAGTTGCTTGTAATGTTATTCTAGGTATATAATTTTTGCCCCATGCATAATTTTCCTAAAATGGTCCGTATTCGAAAAATTTTACTAAAAGTGAAAAATTCAAATTTTTAAGAAAAATGTTCAAATAAGTTGTTTGCGATATCATTCTCTATAATTTTTATTCTATACGAGTATATGATTTCTCTAAAATGGACCGTAATGGAAAAATTTGAGAAATCTATAAAATTTTGATTTTTCAGTATTTTCGTTGGCAGTGAATACATTTAACACGGGTGATACAATATAGGTTGTACAAAATAACCGGAAAATTCTATAATATAACTAAAACAGGAAAGTCATGCGTTGGACACATCAGATTTTTTATGAAGGTAAAATGTTTTTTTTCTGTTTTTGGATTTATGATATTACCTATTTCAAGATTTGTATTTGTTTATTAAATATGTTCAACACATGACTTTCCTATCTAGTTATTTATACATACATTTTCCATATATATCTTACTCGAAACATTTTTTAATATATACCTATTTATTGCCAACGAAAATACTGAAAAATTAAAATTTTACACTTTTCTTCCATTTTTTTCATGACGGCCCATTTTAGAGAAATCGTGTATAGAACAAAAATTATAGTGTATGATATCGCAAACATCTTTTATTTGAAGAATTTTCTTCTCCAATCGTAAATAACAGAGATATTCCTTGAAGTAAAAAACGACACTCTATAAAGAACCCCTCCCCCAGATGCTTCGCTATGCCAAAAATTTAATCAGCTCACCGCAAGATGGATTAAAGCTTATGTTTAAAATTTGGTGTTTTTTCTTTTGAGTTATCTTTAAAATTCGAATTTTTGCACTTTTTGTGAAATTTATTGAATACGGACCATTTTAGGAAAATTATACAGGGTGAGTCGGGAGGAGCGCACCAAACTCTAGGAGTATATTATACACGTGAAAATAATGTAAAAAACTCATATGTTTTTATCCGATTTTCATTTGTTTTCAAGTTATGGTGTAATTAAAAATGTTCATCTAGCTTTCCACTTCTGAATTTTAACATTATCAAAGTATGCCATATATGTTCAAGGCTCAAAGCCATTTGATAATTCTGACATTTTGATGAACTGTCAGTGTACAGTGAACAGTAACAACGTTTAATTTCGAATTTATGTGATTGTTAGTGTTGCAAAATGCCAGATACTTATTCAAATTTAGAATATGCAAATATGGTATTTGTTTATGGTTTCTGTAATGGAAATGCTACAGCTGCTGCTGAAGAATATCGTCAACGTTTTCCACACCGAAGACATCCTGATAAAAACGTATTTATTAGAGTTTTCAACAAATTGTGGGAGACTGGTAAATCCCAGTGCTTTCATAACATCTGAACGCGCTACTCGACAAGGTTTTGTAGAAGTAGAAAATATTCTGCATCTAGTAGAAGAAGATGCAACTACTAGTATCGAGTATACTCTTTACGGATGAAGCTACATTTAGCCGTGATGGCATTAATAATACTCGTAACTATCATGTATGGTCAAACGAAAATCCCCACGCAACAGTCGAAAGCAATTTTCAACATCGGTTTTCTGTAAACGTGTGGTATGGTTGACAGTTATTTAATTGGCCCTTTCATTTTGGAGAATCGTCTCACAGGAGACAACTACCTCAATTTTTTACAAAATGAATTACAAGGCCTGCTAGAGGATGTTCCTGTAAATATTAGAATGCAGATGTACTAGCAGCACGATGGAGCTCCTGTACATGTCGCTCGTCAGGTCAAGCAACATTTGGACGAACGTTTTCCAGGGCGTTGGATTATTCGTGGAGGTCCTATTAATTGGCCTGCAAGATATCCATACCTCACACCATTAGATTTTTGTTTATGGGGCTGGATGAAAAATGAAGTCTACAAAATAAAAGTGGACACACGGGATGCACTAATTAGACGAATTGAGAATACTGCAGCCCATATTAAAGAAGAAAGAAATTAATCAATTAGGAGAGCAACAAACGCTCTTCGTTGACGAAGCAGAAAATGTTTCAAAGTCAATGGCGGTATTTTTGAACATTTATTAAAAGAACGCTATGATTAAGAGAATTTTTATGTGTAAATTTGTTCATTTGTTAATATGCTATAACTTGAAAACAAATGAAAATCGGATAAGAACATATGAGTTTTTTTACATTATTTTCACGTGTATAATATACTCCTAGAGTTTGGTGCGCTCCTCCCGACTCACCCTGTATATGGGACAAAAATGATAGAAAATGACATCACAAGCAATTTTTATTTGATCATAGCGAAAATAGTCAAAATGGATTCAGGGGACCCCAAAACGTAAAAATCCGTCGAAATAAACTCGAGGTCGAAAAAATCCATGATTCCTATATTTTATTCCTTCTTTATAGAGGCAGGAAAGTAAAAATATCACTCTATGATACCTACCGTCCCTAAAAAAATATAAATTATGCCTACGAAAAAAATTATATTATACAGGGTGGCCAGATGAAAACGTTTCAGAGCTATTTTCTATATCCTCAAATCATATGGCATTTAAATAGGGAAATTCAGCAATATCTATTAATTACGTTGCTTTTGATCTTATCGCCCTCTAGCTGCATAAAAATGATTTTACGTATTGTAAAATGTGACACTTCATTTGAAAGCAAATTTTATTGCATACATTTATTGTTTTGATTGATTGCGATTAAAGTTTGTATTTCATAGCATTAGAAATGAGAGATTTTTCAATGATTTATGTTATACAGTAAATTATTATTAATAAAATTAGCTTTCAAATGAAGTGCCACACTTTACAATACATAACAATTCTGTGTATTCGCTGTTATTTTTCTGTTTACTTTGTCATACTAAAATGTGATGATAACATACTAAAAAGTATCTCTTTTTTTTTATTAATAATAATTATTTACGGTTGGCGATAAAAGTTTGTATGGACCACGTGTCAGCAAAGTGTCTTTATCGAACTCGCCGCCTGTTACTGGGGACCTATTTTCAAACCGTGTGAGTACTCATTTCTCTCAAGATTCTCATCAGAAATGTCATACGTCAATGTGGAAACGCTGTTTTTAAAGGCCTCGAGGATTAAAATTCTTAGGAGGATATTAATTATCTCTAAATAAACCGTGAGAAACAATCAGTGAGTTCACACTGGCCCTTAGGACCCTAAAAATTACTGTTTTACGTTGACGTATGACATTTCTCTCGAGAGAAATGAATTCTCTCGACTTTGAAAATAGCCCCCCTGGTCTCGCTCGCTTCTTTCGCTCGGCTCATAAGTTCAGACTAGTTTGATAAAGAATCACTTTGCTGACTTGGTACATAAACAACTATTATCCCGCTGTGTCTCACTTGGTACTTTCCAGGCGTGGCTCGTGGCCTAGTCTACGATGGAGGCTACTTTTGAAAGGCAAACCCTATAAACTTAATACAAATATATATTTCTGTTAGAATATAATGTAATATTTCTGCTTTTGCAATAAAAATATATTATTTATATTAAGTATAGGTTATATAGGGTGTGTCTTTTAAAAGTGGCCTCCTTGTAGACTAGGGGTGAGATTACAGAACGTCTGCAAATATGGCGGCAACTTTGCAGATCTGCAAATATGGCGGACTTACAAATGCAAGTATCAAGTTTTCATATTCCAAAAAATATTTGCAAATTCGGAATATTTATTGTGGTTTATTAATTCAACAACACTAAAGCCAAATCCACCTAAGGAGGTTAGAACATTCTACAAACTTGCAGATTTACTTTTTTTTAATAAGCATGAAGTCTTTTGTTCCTTTTGATTGAATACTGTTCGTGGTGTCAGATTATCGAGTTTTTGAACTTAGTAATGGATTTGGGTTTAGTGTTGTAAGTGCGCCATATTTGCAGATCTGCAAATTTGCCACCATATTTGCAGATCTGCAAAGTTGCAGACGTTCTGTAATCTTACCGCCTAGGCCACCAGCCGCGCCTGGTACTTTCACTTGAATGACGTATATGGCAGTTGGGGATACGATAGAAAGATGTCCCCCTTTAATCAAAAAGTGACCAGTCAGAGGGTTTGTCTAAAATGTTGATTTAGTTCCTAGTAAATGGCTATCTGTTTTCTTATGGCGTCTTTGTATAAAATCACTACCACTACCAAAGTTTAAAAACCAGAATTGATCAATATAAAGATTCAATAGATTTTATTTTTATAGGGGGTGCAGTCGGCCGACTCCATTCTCCTCTAGCAACGGCCGAAATCGAAGGCAACGAAGGCGAAGTAATAAGTATCGACACACCCACCTTTCCGCAACACGACATCGCATCGTTACTCCAAGAAGCCGCTCCCCTTCCTCAAGATATTTGCCAATCAGGACCACGCAGAGCTTCCTTGATTCAATTTTCTCCTTATTTCATGTCGGTGTGGGAAGAGTCCAGCGAAAAACAATCAGCAAACGTTACCGATAGACACGTTAAAGAACTTTTACAGGAATACCAACAGAAAAATGACGACAATTCGCATCTGGGAGGCGGTCCTGAAGGGGGAGGGGCAGAAGGCGGAGAGGGGTACGAGAAAAGTAATCCCGCCCATGGTGATAAGATGTTCCACCACTTTTTGTCCAAGGTACAGAGCAACCCTGGACAAATATTGAGGTAACACATATTAAATAGTAAATTACACTTCCTTTAATAATCATATAAGGATTATATGATTTTTTGTGACTGTATATTGAAAAAGGGGGTGGATAAAAGAGGGTGTCTCTAAAAATGTGTATGATTACTTTTTACAGGTATGGTCGAGAATCTTCCCCTCTGCTTCTCTACCCACTTCAAGAAGCTCCGAGAAAATGCCAGTATTGCCAAGGAGATCTAGTATTCGAATTCCAAATAGTTCCAACAATAATTTCCAAATTGAAGCTTGTCACTGATCCAAAACAGGTATCCAGACTGGAATTTGGCACAGTTCTAATCTATACTTGCCGAAAAAGCTGCTGGTCTTCAGATGCGACTGTACGAGTAGAAACTGTGATTATACAAAGTGAACTTTATTAAAATTTAAAAACATCGAATGCAGAGGCTGCCATTTATAATGTTACAATTTGATATGTTAATATATCTAATTGTATAATTTCAAATTTAAAAAGTGGCGTACATTATAATGGGCATCGCATACTCTGTATTTTGTGGTTTATAAAATATTAATTACATTTAATGAAATATGTCATTGTAATAGTAATTTCTTTTTGAATTATATATTTTTTCTGAGAAATAAGATACCTATTCCCAGTAAACCACAAATAGTTGGCATTCGCTCTGCCTGAAACCGGCATGTTCAGGAAGCTGAGTACTCAGATTACTGTTGATGGGAGGACCGTACCATTTGACGTAAATTAGAAGTAGAAACCGCTTGTCGTCCATATTTGGCTTTCCAGATATGGAAGGCAACCTTACGAGCCGAACGTGATGAATATTTGGTTAGCCAGGCATGAGAGGCATCCATACGGGCTGAACTATATATAGATATATGAACGCGGCTAACATGTAGTGGGCTGCCGACATTCGGCTGGGCGGAGATGCCCTACCTATATGCCGAAGCTGCACCCGTATGTATATGGGGCCTCCTTCATTCCAATTACGGTGCCGATTAACTGTTTTTATTGGGTTGGCTTATCATCTAAAAAACAAACTTTAGAATTTAATAATTAATGAATGGAGGGTCTGTCACAAAAATAAATGAAAAGGTATTAAAATTATACTTCAATAAATTATTTTCAGTCGTACATATACCTAGTCACATTTTTTAAAATTTTATTTTAGGTCATTATGGTAAATTAATTTGCAAGCCACTGATACGTGATCTGAGTAAAATTTGAAGGAGCATGTAAAAAATAACTTCAGAGCTTTGTAGGACTCTGTATTTCATTAATTATTTAAATTGGTACATGCCATCCAAATAGACTTACAATGTATATTTTTATTCAGTCAATTAATAAAGGTGTCCATTTTTAAATTCATACTATTCTTTCCAAATTAAATAGCAATCGAATAATATAAAAAAATAATAAACAATTTGTGATTTTTATGATCTTTACCTTCGAATTTTTATAGTAGTTTATTGTAACCTGTTGACTATAAAATACTATATTATATATATTTAAAAATTATATACCCTTTAAAAATCGACTAAAGCAGATATACAGTGTATATTTGTATAGTATAATTTTAGGAGTGGATTTCCCAAAAATTATGTTTCTAGTCAATAAAATATGAAAAACTATTTTATTTCACTTGCCGATTATGAATCTAGCATAAAAATGTCAACCTTTCTAAATAACTGAACACTATAGATTCTGCAGTCACCTGCGAGGATTTTTTCCAACATTACTGCACGCCACCCTAAAAATCAAATTGTAATAAAAACAATAGAAATAAAATAATAATTTTAGCTGAGTAGTTTTATTTTTAATCCCACTAGATTCAAAATGATATTAATTCACTCTTTAGGGGGTGATTGACTCGGTAGTCCTAATGGATTGATTCTCTGGGTTATAAATAGTTACTAATTTAATGAAAAACTCGCTAATTTAATGAAAAACAGTCGTGAAAATAATGAAAAACAATCACTTTGGGGGTTTAATGTTGCCTTCATGTAAAGTTCATTAATCCATAATTTAGTACAATTTTATAGGACCCCCTAAAATTTTTAATGCTGATTTACACGTATAAGGTATTTATAGTTAATTAAAAAGTTTTTCGTTAGGAATTGAAATCTACTTTATTTAGTTCTTACAGATTTTGAAATGGGTAATAATAATAATTAACAATTATAAGACATTCAAATATACTAAGTACCAATTACTTATTTGGATTAGTGGTATTTGTAATTTCTGTGGTGGGTGAGCTTGGAGTAATTTATCATATAGAAGAAAGCCATGGATCCAAATACTACATGCAAGAAAGGAGCGATTCCAGCTTTCTTGGGTTGAACGTACTTGTGTTGCCATCTCCAATAAGCCCTGCTGACGGCACCCATCATAGCTTGTGGGGATTTATTGCGGCGAGCTAACCATGATCCAATTTCACCAACTTTTACTTGTCCAAAAGGGGTATCGGGCTTACCATAAAAACGTGCAGGATCATAAGGCCCGTGTGCTTTTGGATTGTAATCGATCGGATAGTCACCAAAGGCCATTTTATAGGTATATTAAAAAGTGATTTAAATAACTATTCAACCACCAATCTATAAACTAAATGTGATATAATGAATAGTTACGTAAATGAAACCTTTATATTTTTTGACAGTGACAGAAGTAAAAATTTGACATCTGGCATTTACATTGACAAGCAAGGAAGCAACCATTGGCCAAGTTAGCCAACATAAAATATATGTGTAAATATATTTTTGGGAGAACAGAAATCTGTTAGTGTCTAAATAAAATTTTATTTCTTGATTAAAGATGTCGCTAAATGTATTTATCTAAAATATTGACAAGAAAAATTCAATAATTCCAATATGTAGGTGTTTCACACCAAAAATACAATTTTCCGTTTTTTGTTGACGTCTCACGCGCTTTTAGAAAAATTAATAAAAAAATCGGGTAGTTATTCGTGTTTATCGCGTTTAAAAAGTTTGTATATTTTGTGATGTTATGTTTAAAAATGGAAGTGTATTTATAAATGTGAGTCACTACTATTGTTTTTTGTGTTGAAATGCGAAGTTTTTAGTATCTGAATTAATAATTATTTGTTTTTTCGATAGATGTAATATTATATAGGTAAGTAGATCGCTAAAGTGGAGGTTTCAAAATTCAGATGAACAGATTTGAAATTTCCCTCCTTAAGATACCAATCTCTAGACATGGGCGTACATAAGAGGGATACGCGCTAAAACCCCAATAAAAAATATAATAATACCTATTTCAAAATTTTATTTGCGGATGTCTTTTTTAACCGACTTCAAAAAAGGAGGAGGTTCTCAATTCGTCGAAATATTATTTTTATGTATGTTCAGCGTTAATTCTTTATCACATCCAAATTTCTATGATTTTTTGTTAGAAAGGGGATACTAGAACCCAGACAGCACACCAAATCCTTTGGATATCTACTGAACATCCCAATATCCACTGAATGTCCAGTCCATGGTGGATATCTATTTTATATCCATAAAATGTAATTTATAGACATGCAAATGCCCATAAATAATAGTAATTATATAGCAAATTATTAAAAAATTACGCCATTGTGCTCGCCATTGTGGCTAATAGTACCGTTCAGATATTTAAAATTAATTTTTTGAAGGTGTATTCAATATCCCATGGACATCCACATATATCAAAGTCTTAGCGCGGACGCAAACCATCGTGGATATCTACTAGATGTAATTTTTGATTTTGCTTCCTAAGTATAGATGGCGATACCACTTTCGTATCTACTCATGCTCAACCCGCCATAATTGAGTTGATCGAAAATTTTTTCGCATTAACTCTATTAGAGACTGGAGTCGAGAATTTCCATTTATTCCTGAAGAGTCCTAATAAGGATGACTTTTTCCTTAGTGGGCAAACTCAAAGGCAGATTGTTGGAAATATTTTTTATCTCTATTTTCTTTCGTAACAATCATTTGGTTACTTATGAATGTCTACTAAAGATACCTATAAAATATTTTGCTAAATATCTGAATTATATATCCTGGGATATAGACGGACATTTGGTTGGATATCCATATTGGATATCCACAAAATATATTCTGTGGATATCTCTGGGATTTCTTGTATTGTCTGGAAGATACTAATTAGATATTTTGCTGAATATCCATAGAATATCTTCTATATTCTGGATATAGACGGACATTTGGATATCCATATTAGATCCACGGAATATTTCTGATATCCTGTGGATATATTGGATATCCACAAAAGATATTCTGTGGATATCTTTGGGATTTGGTGTGTTGTCTGGGAAATGATCTCATGTAAATTTGGTCAGGATCTGCGGTGATGGGATCCATGAGAAAATCAGCAAACTCAATTTGTAATGTCATCTGCCCCAATTTGGAGTCGGTTTTTTAAAATTACTTTTATGACTTAATATTTTCTCCTCTAAAATATGGTTATTACCGATACAGCACAAACACGTTTCAGAAGTATTTCAAAAATATTACATTGAAATATTTGTAATGTATAAATATTACGAAACATCCCAGAAACATTTCTGAAATGTGCCTGAAACGTAAAAATGTCCTGTAAATATAATATTTTACAGTAATAATTTCACAGAAATAAAAATTTGAAATCTTTTAGAAATATTAAATAGTAATATTTCAGAAATGTATTCTAGCTTTTTTATTAATAGATTAAAAAAAAGACATTTATAAAAATATACGTTTATTTAAAACACAAAACTCAAACATTGATTTTTAAACAAACAATTAAATAATTTTTAAACATTATTTCATAAAATATAAAGGCAAATCATCGCTTCATTTCCACAAATTCCTTTGAATGCACTAATCTGAAACAATTAGTTTTTTTTTTTAATTAAGGCCCCAAGTGAAGAAACATTTACTATTATTACAATTTGATTATTAAGATCAATTAGCAATTTTATTTAAATCTAACTTATCAAGATTCTACTCACTATAGTATAGGTACCTTACCTACGAGTCTAATTATGTAGTTACACTACCGTTAACTTATAACACTTAACCGCACTATACTTTGCTTTCATCAAACATCAGTGAACTAACTGAAAAGGCTTGGTCCTTTTGAGCAGTGGCGGCTCGTGGAGTGGTTCACAGTGACAGAATATAGGTATCAGTACAGATGTATGAAAAAACTTTCAGTGTTTTAGAAAGTTTATAATATACCTTTCTAAAATACTGACAGTTTTTTTACCTATATCTGTACCGGGATCTATATTCTGCTACTGTGAACCCCCAAAATTTTGGTTACAAGCCGCCCCTGCTTTTGAGTCTTCTTATTAGATTGGCATTATTGAGGAGCTGCATAATCTCAAGATTTCCATGTTGGAGCAGTCATTGTTGGTGACTACTGGCAAATTTTTGTATTGTATTTTTAATAGTCTACACTTTAAGGTCCCTATGAAGATCAGTATTGTGGCAGTACCAGGGTGCATCGACGATGTTCCTTAATAGTTTATTCTGGAAACGTTAAATAACTTCAATGTTACTTTTAGTGGCGAATCTCTTCATTTTCACCAATTCTTTTAAATGCACTAATCTGAAACAAATTATAGGTAATTAAAAAGGTCTATTAATATTGTTTTAAATTAACTATAATAAAACAAATAATACTCATGCCTACACAAAACATGAAGCTCCACTTTTCAATCAGCCGTAGAACTAATAAATAAAACTGGTGGAGGGACAGAAAATGTAGGTTATATTTAAATAGAAATAAGAATATAAAATGCCTATAAATTTAATAAACGAAATGGCGTCACTTGTCTCAGAGAAGAGATTTAAAAGTTAATAAACCTAACCTAAACAAGCATTGTAATACTTGCCTCAATTTCTAAAGACATATTCTGCCTATTCTGATTTCCATATAACAACAACAACAACACAACGCATATATAACAAAAAAAATCTGATGTGTCCAACACATGAATTTCCTATCTAGTTATTACAGGCTTTTTCCAGTTATTTTGTACAACCTATTGCAGCACCTCTATAAATGTTTAGAGGATAAACTAAATATATACATTTTCCACAGACATCTACCTCGAAACATTTTTCTATAGATATTCATTGAAAACGAAAATACTGAAAAATTTAAATTTAGCACTTTTCCTACAATTTTTCCATTACGGTCCATTTTAGAAAAATCATGAATAAACAAAAATTATAGAGATCGATATCGCAAACAACTTTTATTTCAACAATTTTCATAAAAATCAGAATTTTGCACATTTTGTCAAATTTCTCGAATACGGAAATTTTGACATAAAACAAAAATTATAGATAATAATATTAGAACTTTTATTTGAACTATTTTTTCTCCAAACATAAAAGATATATTCCATAAAATATAAAAACGGCCTCCCATAAAGTACCTCCCCAGATGTTCTGACTTTGTCCAAAATGTAATCATTTCACGTCAGGCCGAAATAAAACTTAAGTTTAAAATGTAATGTTTTTTTCTTTATCCGTTTTTGAGTTTTCTTCAAATTTCGAAATTTACACATTTTCACAAATATCTCGAATACGGTCCATTTTAGAGAAATTATGTAATTGATAAAAATTATAGAGAATTATATTACAAACAACTTTTGTTTGAGCAATTTTTATAAAAAAATATTTTTTTACATTTTGCCAAATTTCTCGAATACGAACCATTTTAGGAAAATTTTGTATAACACAAAAATTTTAGATAATAATATAAGAAGTAACTTTTATTTATTTGAAGAATTTTCTTCCCCAAACGTAAATAACAGATATATTCCATAAAATATAAAGTACCCCCGCCCCCCCAGATGATCCGACTCTGCCCAAAATCTAATCAGCTCATTGGACGCTGGAACAAAGCTAAAGTTTAAAATTTGGTGTTTTTCTGTGTATCGGTTTATGAGTTATGCGACACACACACACACACACATACACACACACACACACACACACACACACACACACACACACACACACACACACACACACACACACACACACACACACACACACACACACACACACACACACACACACACACACACACACACACACACACACACACACACACACACACACACACACACACACACACACACACACACACACACACACACACACACACACACACACACACACACACACACACACACACACACACACACACACACACACACACACACACACACACACACACACACACACACACACACACACACACACACACACACACACACACACACACACACACACACACACACACACACACACACACACACACACACACACACACACACACACACACACACACACACACACACACACACACACACACACACACACACACACACACACACACACACACACACACACACACACACACACACACACACACACACACACACACACACAAACACACACACAACCACACAAAAACACACACAACACACACACAACACACACAACACAACACACACAACACACACAACACACACAAACACACGCACACGCACACGCACACGCACACGCACACGCACACACGCACACACGCACACACGCACACACGCACACACGCACACACGCATGCACGCACGCACGCACGCACGCACGCACGCACGCACGCACGCACGCACGCACGCACGCACGCACGCA